CGAGGCAGTTGTTGCCATCTCGCCACCAATAACCATAGCGCTAAAATCGGACACCCCCCCCCCCCAGCCACACTCCAAAGTGTGGCTGCGCCCCTGGTATGAAGGCCCTGGGGCTCACCACCAGAATGGTCCCGCAACGAAAAATCGAGGCAGCGCATAAAATACAAAAGGACAGGGACCGCTGCTCGGCGGTGGCTGCTGCCGGCCTTGTCGAACGGAGGTTCTGCCACCAGCGCTGCTACTCGTGCGACACTTTGTTTTAAAAGCCAAGGATATTAACAGGCTGTAGGTGCCGTTATCGAGCACATATGATGGCCGGAACGGCACACGAGGGGGTGGGTGGCCAGCACCACGCCCGACCGCCTTTGTCTCCTCAGTGGCGATGTTTACACACCGCACCAGGTACTCATTTGAGGCTGAGTCGACTTAGGAGAGGCCCAGGACCGGTTCAGATAATCGTCACCGGTGTTGGCCGTGAGCGGGAATCAAACCCAGGTCGCCGGGTTCATAGCGCAGCGTAGCGCTAACCGCTACACTACCCCACACACACTCACGCATGCACACACACACCGCGCCGTTCACCGCAGAATGCTGCACTCTCTCTCCACGCGGTCACACTCTGACATGCGTTCTAATGCCCCATGTCCACTCGACAGTAAAAGTTGTTCTCGACGGGGTGCAGCTGTTGGCAGTTACCTTCCCAACCTCATGGATATTTTCTGAAACTGACGCGATTGAATGTGTACAATGGTAAACTCTACACGGGCAAAACACGATGCCATGACGCATTTACGCGTTGCATCGATGCCCCTGCACCGCAGCGAACCTCTGCTCAAGTCTTGTGACCCATTGCAAACCCCCTTCACAGGCCATCCCAGAAGGTTGCGGAGGCCTCGCAGATTGCCCCTTTGAGAGCAGGAGAGATCCTATCGGGAGTAGTATCCACCACGTGTTGAACTCTTCGTGGTCGCTGCCAAACAGATGCACGTGAAACATGTTTACTTATCGCTGCTTATGGCAGCTTGCATTGCCAAATGCTGCCTGCGTCGACTCATCTGCAGGGCTCCCAGAAGTGAGGCCTAACTTGGCAGTCACACAAAGGCTTGACTCAAATGCCTGACAATGATTCACATGCGATCCATCGGAAGTTCCCATAAGCCTGCATATTTCCTGTATTAATTCAGTTTTTTTTGCCAGCTGTTGATATTGTATCTGCGAACGGTTTTATTTTATTATACACAAGGTCTCATTTGCTATGAGGAAGTGAGATCTCAGAGAGGTCTCATCTGTTTTGAATATATGATTCACGCAAAGACACACTTAAGAGGGTCATTCTGCTCTTAAGCATGCAGCTTTTTGTAGCTAATCGCAAATCTCAGTGTGGTCTTCGGGTTTTTGTTTTCTCTCTCACACTTTCACAATGCACTACTGCGGGCATCTTCCAACTCTACAACGGTGGCCAGATGTTCAATACCTCGCCTGGTATGCAGGAGGACGTTGGTTCGAGTTTAGAACGATTAGGAGGTCGTTGGAGGAATTAGAACGATTAGTTGGCTCAGGATTTTACGTGGATTCGAAGAAGAATTATGATCATCAGCTGGGATGAAAGATTGACAAATGAACGTGTATAACGAGGAGCAAAGGAAAGTCATAAAATGAGCAAAGGTTTTCGTGATGAGGCATTTTTTTGATGGGATGAGTAATGCGACGAGAGGGCTTTAGGAACTTATGCATAACTGTTTTAAAAAAAAGGTGAACATCTGGATGACGCATTGAAGTGGGTTTGGTTGACGAGTGCAGACGAAGTGTGACGTGTTACAAGAAGCAGGGGACAGGAAGAGGTGGACATCTAAGACTGTCGACCGCCAGTATTGGGGGATGACGCACCATGACGATGATTACAGATTTCCAGTTGGCATATGGTGACCGATTTAATTTGTGGACCCCAAAAGCTCTGCTGTGCATTCAGCATTGGGGTTCTGTTCCAGCAAAAACAAAAAGGGACCCCAATTGTGAAAAAATATTACTCGTTTGTTTCATACCCGTTGAAGTCTCCCGTTTCAGTGAGGGCCCCCCCCCCCGTGTGAAGAATACGTAACCCCCCCCCCGCCCCCTGGAACCGATTGATTTGCGGAGCCCCAAAAACAACCAAAAAAAAAACGGTGCACGCAACGAAGTGAAAAAAAAATTAACGAGCAATTAAAACTGACTTTTATGTCAACATCGCCAGCGTGCGAACTCATGTGGCCCAAACCTCCGGCTAATGTCACGTGGCCCCGTCATGCCCTCACCCGTGCTGCTCAACGCACGCTGACCAAAGTCTGCCCGTGTGAATTGCAGCGTTGCCGGAGAGAGAAACGCTTATTTTTGTTTGTTCGTTATTATTTTATCCAAAGGGCTTTGCAATGGCGTCAGTTTATTCTCTCAGCAGGCTCCCAGTGGAAAGAGTAGTGGGGGCGGGGGGGGTAATGCAGTTCGTTTTCTGAAAACTGTCATAGTAAAAAAATAACAAGACCATTTTTAGACAATAAAAAAAACATCACAACGCATCTCTTTCCACATTTTTAGTGAAATGTCACGCCACTGACGGTTCACAAGGCCCACGCAAAAACAGTGATCTCCTATCCAGGCGAATTCGTCTTGTCGTAAAAGAAAGCATTTGGTAACCGCATCCGTGTCATTCGCGTGTATCCCAATCACCCCCGAGTGGACACCACGTGGACTACTTCATAACATTTATCTGATCGTATAATGAAACTCATATTTTGTGAAGAAAAAAAATACAAACAAATGCTGCCAATTCAAACCCCGACGATCACGCGCCGAGAAACCGTGTCAGTCAATGCCAGATGAATGTGCTCTTTTGCGCAGACTTTAAAACAACCGCCCGGCGTACGCGTCAGCGCCTTTCTAGCCCTAAAAAACTGCTGCTACGACGCTTTTAGGCGCAGAAGCAACCACACGCGTGCATCCGTCTTTTTTTCTCTCTCCCTCCCGCGTGTCAGGGCCCTGAATGAGAAGGGTTGAGTCCAGGCCCGAGTGTGCCAGAAAAGTTTGCCTCCAGCAAAAGCGCAACTCGGAGAGAGGCTTTTAGTCTCGGCAACAATGGACTATTTGATGCCATCACCTCCAAACGTTTTTGTTGTTGTTGTTGTAAGTGTAGTATTTCATACTCTCGATTTGCCAACATTTTAGGTTATACAAATGGAAGTGGACGGTGCTTATCAATCATCTGCCGGATGAAGGCCTCGCCATGCCGTGACTGTCACAGAGGTTGTGTTTGACCGTGTCCCGACATCCTGTTCAAGGCTATATTGGGGAGATCTTCGTCTTTTTGGCCATATTTCACGAGGCTGGTCAGTGTGGGCTGGTGAAGGGAGGTTCCCCAGGACCGCTTCAGATATCACTCACCTCTGGCGCTAAGCCGTGATCGGGAATTAAACTCAATTCGCTGGGTATAGAGCTCAGTGTGCTAACCACTGTGCCACCGCTCCTCCCCTCCAGGAGCTCGGGTTGAGGGCGCATTTCAGGCCCAGGGGGGCAAGGTGGAGCCTTTCACTGGGCCGTGGGTAAATAAGTCACTTTCATCTGTTTAAATATTGGAATTGTATAGACTGCTGGGGATAGAATTGTAATGCATGAAGAAGTGTCTTTTTTTGTATTGTTTGTTGTAACTTGCTGACCCGCCCCTACTGGGCGTCTGTGAAAAAGAGATTCACAGCTCATCGGATTCCTCCAGGATAAATAAAGATTCTGATTCTTTCACTTAGCACCTTAACCTCTTTCATATTGCAATTCAGCTTTAACGCTCGCGTTTAATTTATATTGTTGGGCACAATGGCTTATGTCAGTAAAACAAAAGGAATGACAAGGGAGAGCTGCATATTTTTGATGTGCCGAGTCCGTCAAGACAAATTCCGCATCATTTTTTTAAAAAGACCATTTCAGGCAGCGCAAATTTATAAGCCGTCTCTCAGATGTGACTCCCACTTTGAGGGTGAAAATTTTCCACCGATGATGTCATGAAATGGAGATTTGACAGAGACGGGGTGGGTGGGTGGGTGGGGGGGGAAAGACGTTTCTAACTTCAAACAGCTGCTGCGAGCACGCTTGGACGTGGTCCGCACGTCCCCGTGCAAGGATAATCGTGCACCTGTAAGAAGGCTGTCAGGCGTGAAAGCACACGGCAAATGCACTCCACCGTATAAAGCGCACACACACACGCACAAGAGTCTTGCTTGATCTCCGAACACTGAGACAATCTTCTTCATTTTACATCCCCCCCCACACCCCCCGCCGCCTCTCTAAGTATCGCAGAAAGCAAACCAAGTCCGAATGTTTAATATTTGTTCGCTTCACGGTTCTTGCCACGCTATTTCTCCAGAACAAGGACAGATCTTTAGAGGGGGGGGGGGGGGGCGGAGTGCAAAGGTTAGGATTTATACGCAAATAATTTTGGGTAGTGGTGTGAACGCGAATTAGGTGGTTAGGGTTTAATTACAGAGTTTATCTTTAGCATCGGTATTATTCTAATATATTTATTTTAAGTTAATTAAATTTACAAAAGTACGTTGGTGCAACAAATTGCCTTTCCTGTCAATCTAAGTTCTATTATTTTACACTTGGGTATTTCTTTTATAGATTAAAATAACTTTCTGATGTTGTAGAAGCTATATTCTTGGGTCTTTCGGCAAAAGTCACGTCGATAGGTTCAAAGAAAATAACATATCTACGTGACTTTGCCGAAAAACCCAAAGCATATGAATTCTTGCAGTCACGAAAGCTTTAAGTTAAGTTGTGAAAGCTGTTTTTATTGTTCCACTCCCCATATTTATTTTAAGTCATAACCGGCACTTTCTAGTTTTGATCAGGCCCGAAGTAGAATTTACTTCCTTGTGACCTGCGCTTAAGGCATTGTCACCACTCACTAAGCTTCTAACAATGAATCAGTTCATATCTTAAAATCAATGTATACACTATTGAGTCATGATACATCCATCGAATTTTGTGCATAGCAATTTATTACTTACTAACAGTATGCAGATGACATGCCGATGTTACATTTAGGGTAAAAAGATGAAGAAAACTCTACATATGAGACGGGAACAAAAATGAGAAACAATACATTTGGGATGCAAAAAAATTTGACCAAAAAAGTTAAATGTCGAAGTGAATAATGATCCTGAATCATCACAGGCCTGCAAATCCCTGGGGAGGTGAATCATAACATGCAGTGGTGGTTCTAGTCAAAATCTCAGGGGCCCAAACAGCTCAAGAGGCCATTAATTCATTAAAAAGTATTATGGTATGTCGAATGTCAGCTCCAATTAAAATTCTAAAAAAGATACCTACCAAATTAACATGATGCCAATTCATCTCTTTCATCTGTACATCGTCTTCATATCCCTTTTCTTATCTCACGATGTTTTTTTCTAGATTTGTTTTTATCTCACTACATATCTCGGTCTTGTCTATGTATCATCTGTCATCTCACGAGGGTATTACGAATTGAAAGGTGGTCCCCACATTTTTTTTTTGCTCTTAGGGCCCCTAATGGGCAACAACCAACCACGAAAACACTGACCTCGCACTACCTGTGGGTTGCTTAGCTTACCATTTAGACAGAGCAATGTGTACTGTCCTGCACCTGGTGGAGGCGTCTCAGCATGTTGGACAGGCAGCTGGAATATTAAATGCCCTCTCCATTCCAGAGCCATTTTCTCCATCTGTCAAGTGAGCGGACGAACAGAGCCTGCGCATACCGGAACGCAATCTGCAGGATACGCTAATGACAAAAGGCAATCGCGTGTGATTTTTGCGAGCGTCCATTACATCTTCGAGGATGCAATTTCAGCGCAGAGGCAGCCCAAGTGCCTCCGGATGCACGCCTTAGCAGGGCAATTGCCACATGCCGAGGCATATCGCGATCGCTGCGTTGTCCTGCAACAACAAAAAAAATCCTAAGCCTTCACGATAACATCGGAAGGAGGCAGCTGCACATACAATCGCACAATACTGTTAAAGACAGCAGGGCTGGGAGTGGCAAGGAGGCATGAGAGAGCACACCGTGAGAGCAGCTGCCTATGTCCTAACCGCACGCGCAGAGGCATCGATCGTGCGCAGTTGTCTCGAGCCGCAAGTGTGACCTTACATATCCCAGCAATTACTCCAGGTAATTGCTTCCAATTACTTCCAGCAATTTCTTCCAATTATTATGCCAATAATTGCTTCCGAGCTCTGTGTTTTGGCGCGGGCTGTATTTCTAACACGAGCTGCTTGAGAATGTTTACTGAAGAGCGCTGCGCCGACTCTATCTCCATGCGTCACAAAGAATTTGCAATAATAGAGAGTGTTTCTTTTAGCGATGTGAGTATTTGATTTTTGTTTTTTAACAGGATGCATTACATTTCCTCTGCTAGTAATTATAATTGTTACGCTTGTACGAACGGTCTAGTTGCCTGATGCCAGCGTGCTTATTTTTTTCTTCCCGAGAGGGTCAAAAACATAACCGAGACTTGGTTTTCCGTACGACTGTAATATGTGTCATAACGACTGTGATATGTCACAACAGGTGGTGGTATCTAAATGACTCGAGGTCTACATGATGATTTGAGAAATTAATACAGGGAGTAAGATATCGAACAAAATGTGGTTGTACTCTGTTGTGGAGGTAATTCAAAATAGCACTTTCATTTATATCACGTCATTCATGCTAATAGCATCCCACAACGCTGTACATTAATTACATACGAGGGCCAAATCCAATATACAGCCACTACCAGCAAATTAAATCCCTTACTACCGAGCAAAAAAATGGATAAACAAATCAAGAAATGACACCCAAACTGAAAGCACAACAACAATAACACCTCCATCACAGTCCGCCGCGCGAGCTGAAATTGTTCGTTGACAAGAGGACGCTGCATGAACGATGGTGCGTGGCACAGTCTGGAAAATAACACGAGGCCCGCAATGCCCCCACCTCGCAAATTACCGCTTGGAATTATGAGCTGGGTAGTTTGCCTGGCTCTTTTGTGTCAGAAAGTTCGCATTCAATACTGACGTTAATTGGTTAAAATTGTTCAATTTATAGCTCATTGGGACTTTCCAAATATTTGGGCGTCAAGTCGCCATCAACTCGGTACCTACTTCCATATGGGCAGTCAGATTTCGGTTGAAAAGCCCCAGTGGCATTCTGGCCGAGTGTTGAGGCGTTACCTCGTGTGCTGGGCTGTGAACACTGAAGCCAAGACCTGGTTTTAGGTCCAGCAGGTGAGCGTGCAGCATGAGGTTTGGGTAAAGCAGTCCAGCAGGTGAGCGTGCAACATGACGTTTGGGTAAAGCAGTCTTCACTTTGTGAGGGACATAGAAATAAATATTCTTTCAAAAATATTGGTACCACAAATTCCCTTTTTTTAAATCCAATTCATGTTTACTGCAAATAATTAATAATGAAAATAATGGATACTTTTTATTAGATTGAAGGAATCAAGGAGATGAATGTGGAGAAGTCCAGTTTAGTGACTTTACGAACGAGGTGGACTTACTCTAACGGACAAACCCCAGATCGCCACACGTCTTTGTCTTCGTCAAACACAGGAGGCAACCACGGACCGCTTTATTTCACACGGCGGTAAGTACAACATGCACATCACCCGATGTATTTTTCTCCCAAAATTTTGCACAACTTCCCACTAAAGGTGGTGGCATATTCCTTTGGATCAATGTGCAGACATCTTCAGTGAGTTGCTCCCCCCCCCCGCCCGCCACCCCCAAATAATTCAAAGCCATCTTATTCCCACTGTAGAGTGACTCCGTTGGGGGCGCGCGTGACTTACCGGATGGGAGCTGCGCTATTACGACAATGAACCGTTAAGTGAGTGGGAGAGGCGGTTGAGTGAAGAGGTGTGGTCGCCAAGGGGGGGGGGTCTGGGGGGTCGGGGGGGTGGTCACGCATCGCAGGCGCAGGTCACAGCAGGGGTGAAAGGGGGGGATGGGGGGGGGATGTCTCGCGTCGCGCGCACAGACACACGCGCTATTGTTGGGCTAATTCCACGTGTGTAGAGTGACTCCGTTGGGGGGCGCGTGCCGGGTAGAAAAGGGGGCATTGACGCCCATCGAGGGGGATGCGGTTATGCTTTGGGTTTGGCCGTTGAGAATTTTGCCGCTTTCGGGAGGAGATTTCTGTGGATGCTCTCGCTCTGCGTTTGCGACGTGGGCTGGACGCGCGTTTTGGCATCGTTTGCCGGATGAAGCGTGGCAGTGTCGTGTGACCTGTTTTTTTTATCTAAAAAAATATTCTTGTTTATTGGTCGCTTATCAAATTAACAATTTGCCGCAGATAATATAACAGGAATGCTGCCATGGTATAATTGTTAGCACACTGGATTTGCAATCTAGAGGTCGCAGGTTTCAATTCAAACTCCTGGCTCGGCAGTTGAGACGGTTAACAATGTTTCTTAAATAACTCTGCCTTTGTTCACCCAGCAGGAGTACAAACGGGGTACACCAGAGTTAGTCAATTGGCAGGTGGTCGTGTGTGGTGGGGTAAAGTGTGGGTCCTCTCACCGCTTCTGCGATGTCGGGAGAGTTGGACAAAACAACCTTCTGGAGGGGCTCCACTAGAGCTCTTTCTGCCCGTAGTGGCGTGAGCTCAACGTATGACAGGTGCAGCCATGAGCAAGTTTTTGTGCACCTTCACTTATTATCTAATTATCATAATCGTTAACAATTGCCATAACAATGAACGACTTCTGTTAACCCCGCAACCAACAGTCATGATGGAATATTTAAAGTGTAATAACTTAAAATAATAATCCTGCTGAAATGATACATTTCTCAGTAATGATGACGAGCCGCAGTCCAGAGTTGCCATTTGGCGGTCCGGCCGCTGTTACGCTTGTAGCTACTGATAAGGCAGTCAACTCGAAACTTATCGAATTTTCCACTACCGATGGCCCCGTCAGAGCACATGGTGGGGATACCGTGAGGGTCGACCTTGGCGGTGACGTGTCTGCTTTGCAGCAGCTGTGGGATCTGGTGGAGGGTATCGATGATTTGAGAGGGTGTGGTGGCATCAACCCCTTTGTTTGATTGAACTACGCTGTAAAATGTGTTATAACATGGTCTAGACTCTACAAGGCCGTGCTACGTAAATACATAAAAGTTGATGGCTATGCATTTGAACGTAATGAAGATGATAAAACACTTTAAGATGTCATCAATCTGTGGGGGCTACATGGTGGCACGCAGTCGTAACACTCGTTCCCCATGGGGTTTCTATGGGTTCACTGATGTCATCCCATAGCAAAAAATGAATATAATCCATACAATTTCACCTGGTTTGGCCAAAAGTTCCCAAAGCCGAAAAATGGCATTCAATTTACTCAACTGGGATTTGCACATCTGATGTTTTGTTGTCCTCCCTCCGTACCTCCGATTAGCACGGTTGGCTACGTACGGTGCGAAAGACGTTCAACATACATATATACATAGCACGGTTGGCTACATACGGTGCGAAAGAAGTTCAACGTACATGCATACTACTGCGACGATTCGCAGTACCCTCCTGAAAATGTCGCAATACTCTATGAGCCAGCCATTCATGAGTAATCAGTCGTAAATAATAAGAATTAAAATACTCCACGTTCATTGCCGTCCATCACAAATATGAATGGAGAAAACATTGACCGTGTCATATTTAGCTGATAACGTGGCGATTACTGTGGAAATGGCCTACAGGAAATGTTAGGGGAACATACCGAAGAAGGCTACAAAGTTGCGCTGGATAAACATTATCAAAATTAAGGTCGTATACAACAACTTCGCTACGCAATTTGGGACATCTGTTGGAGGGGGGGGGAGAGGGGGGGGATGTAACTGATAACAGCGACATTGAATCGAAACCCGTTGGAAATGGCCAACGATTGAAATGAAAAAAAAGAGAATGGGAGTGAGTTGGCCGTGCCTCTTGGAAAGATGAACTCGATCATGAATAGTAGCAACATACGAATGGGATTACAGACGAATGTTTTTTTTATAATTACAGTCGTGCATATTACCCCGCTGTGACCGATGGCTCAGAAACGCAACAAAAGTGTGCAAAGAAGCGTGAAGATGTCAATGCTTGGAATTACGCTTGAAGGTGGAAAAATTAACGCGTGGATTTACAGAGCACACGAGCCGGTTTAGAGACACCGCACTGACCGGTCGTAAGAAAGTGAGCGAGCCTGGGCAGGACGCGTCTCCAGAAGGGACGACGGCCCGTGGTCTAGAATAGTACCGAGTGGCAGCTAAGAGGACCTCCACTGCTGAGACAGAGCGATGAAATCAGTCTGTGTGCAGGTGCTGGGTGAATTGTTATATCCTAGGGTAGTGTCACGGGAAACGTGCCAGCGCTACGAACCCCGCCGACGCGAGCGTCGAATCCCGCTCACGATCAGCGCCAGTGACGATTATCTGAACGGGTCCTGGGCCTCCCCTACGTTGGTCCCGAAAGAGTACCTGGTGCGGTGTGTAGTAAACATCGCAACGAGGAAGACGAGTGACATCGCCCCACAACTACACTATACACTACAACACTATACACTACACTATACACTACTACACTATACACTACAACACTATACACTACACTATACACTACACTATACACTACACTATACACTACACTATACACTACACTATACACTACAACACTATACACTACACTATACACTACTATACACTACACTACTATACACAGACTCTAGCTCTTCCTGGTGAATCCCCACGCGTTCCCCGGCCAGACGAGTGACGTCGTCCCGCCAGGAGCAGCGTGGTCCTGGGCCAGCCCCGGGGTCTTCGCCCAGCGGGACGTTGCTGCTGCTGCTGCCCGGTAGAGTTCCAGGGGGAGTTTACTGGGGGGGGGGCATCTTGATCGGGGTGCCCGAACCACCTTA